AAGGTACATACCCGGAAGAACAATACCCTAATGTCACCGATGAAAAAAAATACTTGGTTATTCTTAATTTTCGAGTTATACATCTACCAATCTATATATATAAATAAAATTGTACTGTCTGTTTGTTATATTTAAATAAGCGTAAAATTTTTGTCTGTCTCTTTGTTCCTGATAATCTCTGAAATGGCTGTACCGATTTTGACGAGACTTTTACTGACAGGTAGCTTATGCAATAAGGAGTAACTTTAAGCTACGTTTATTTTAGAAAAAAAAACTTTTATTTTACATAAATAATGTTGCAAGTAATGTTCAGAACCGCTCATGTATTATAAATGCGAACGTTTAGATGGATGTTTGTTTAAAGGTATCTCCAGAACGGCTGCATGGATTGTTCAGAGGCATATATGTGGAACTAGATAGACTACTAATTATGTTTTTTTTAAATCCGCGCGTACGGAGTCGCGGGGGACAGCTAGTAATATATAAAAGGTAAATAGCACAGTTACAAAGGACATCTGCAACCAGGTTGCGTTGTGCCGTCTCTGTGCTAAGACTTGTTATTCGTTTATAGTTATGAATTCATTTTTAATCGTGTTATTTACATCGCTTATTATAAGTAAGTTCTTATGTTTTTATGAAAATTTTTATTAAATTTTAAATATATCTCAGTGGTATAATATATGAGAAGAAATATTATAAGGGATTAACAGTCCCTTTGTTTGTCTGTGAATTCATATGCGTTATGTAATGCCTTAAATAATTTAAATACGGTTTTCGCTAATGTAAATCTTATATCTTTAAATGAGCAATTCTTGTATATATAATTGGAATCTCGGAATCGACTCCAATGATTTTCATAAAATTTAGTATCTAGGGGGTTTCGGGGGCGATAAATCCATCTAGCTAGGAATAATTTTTAGAAAATGTCATTTTATTCGTGTTTTATCGTTAATCAACTTAAACATAAACTTAACTTTTTCTATCGGTAAGATCGAAAAATATTATTCATATTTCATCATTTTATTAGTAATTCGTACTTATACACAATTTGAAAAAAATCCAGGTACTTTTATTAAAATTAAAAACCGTTAATATAAAAATTACTTTCAAATGCATTTTAGTTTATATATACGTAAAGTTTTTTATACTGTGAATATAACGCCCGATTTGACGCCGGATTCGTAACATGCATGGGAAGGGAAAATATTTTCTTTCCGTGCATCCTCTCCTCCGTCGATTAAAGGTAGGCAACGCAACGGCATTTGCGTATGTCTATGGGCAATAGTCACTTCGCTATTTCAGCGATTTCAGGTGGCCGCTCGCTCGTTTGCCACCTAATGATATAAAAAAAATGCGTTGTCGAATTAGGTTAACAATAAATAATGCAATGCTTATAGCGAAAGTAATGTGATATTGTGAAACTCTGACGTCCGTAACATCCTTCACCGGCATTCCAAGGGTTAAAATATATATCGAACTATACTTTTTGATTTAACAGATCATGGTGCATCCGAAAAAACTTATAATAAAAATCTTGATAACACAAAAAAACAACGAGAATGTATCGATATATTAACAGAGAATTTAATATCGCAAAATTGGTCTGAGGATGAGAAACCCTGTTTGGATGAAATACTTAAAACGATTGTAAATATTAAAAATTCAACACTTTGGGCAACATGGAGTAAGTATTTTATAAATATTTTACATAAATGGACATGATTTTTATGTTAAACTAACTCGCCTGCGACTCCATCCACGCGGAATTATAACATAAAACATAATTAGTCGCCTATGTGTTCATCTAGACTATGTTCTATGTGTATGCCAAATTTCATCAGGATCCGTTCAACCGTTCCGGAGATATCTTCAAACAAACATCCATCTAAACATTCGCCTTTATAATATTAGTGGGATTCAAGTATTTAAAATTGGAGTGCCTTTAAGTAATATCGAAAAAAAATCGTATTTCAAACACGTGATGTATTTGCGTTGCTGTAAAAAAAACTATTTTTAAATTTTTGTCTCGCCGTCTGTCTGTTTGTACGTCTGTCCGCGTGGCTGCATTTGTTCCTGGTAATATCCGGACGGGTGGACTGATTTTGACGGGAAGGTAGCTGAACACACGGACATATACATATACTCTTTTAATTCTGCGCTGACGAAGTCGCGTGCGACCGTTAGTATGTAATAAAAGTAAAAAAACAATAAAATAACCACAACATTCTTGAGAATTTTTATAACAACGCCATCTAGAAACTTTGCAATGTCAACTATCTCGAACTAATATTACATTTTAGCTCCTTCGCCTGTTGGAATAATATGGTTGCTTATTTCTATTTACAGTTTGGGACAGTAATCAATTACCAGTCGGTCAACTGATGGGTTCAAAACATCATCTTGGTAATTACGATCAATGTATTAGTGATGTGATTGGTACGACCACTCCACCGTTCCGTACCAAATATTGTTTAGCCGACATCGTACTGCATTTTAACGAGGTACCGAAATTGAGTGCACAGGATATTGACCCTTATGGACGTACTGAGGAACAAATTAACGTAAGTGTTTCTGTGAATTTTTACACTTCCTTTTAAGGGCTATTAATAGATGTGAGACTGTATTACGCAGAGTTGTCGCGCCCTTTTCTGTCCGCCCTGGACGGTAACCCGCGCCCTAATCTAACGCCGGCCCTGCTATAAATATATACAGGGGTTCTGGAAGCTAAATTGGGGGGTCCAGCTATGAACATATGCATAACTAAGTTTATTTAAGTTGTGACAAGCCTTTACGTATTCTTTGCATGATTTAGTACGCATCTTTCAACAGATGAAAACAGAATGGAATCAACGTTTTAATGTCATAACATGGGGCGTATGTGTACCACAGACGTGTCAAAAGGAATCAGTAAAAAAAATCTTACGCACTCTATTAGGACAGAGTTATTTAGGAAGATTGAAATTACAATCACATATAAATATAGAGAATTGCGAACTTGCAGGCGAAGCGAAGAACCATGTTGATGGATTTAATATTATACTGTAAGTTTTAATTTTTCAAATTAAAGTATGAATTGTGTAAAAAGGAACGCGTAAACACATCGAATAGTACATGCTATGCTGACACTACGTAGACAAAATTGAAAGACGATGACGTAATTTTTTATCTCATATTTATCACAAGAGAGAAAGGGAGAGGTAATCAATAAGAATAAATTATTGTGTAATTTATTCTCCGTATAAATTAACTTGGAATTATTTTTTTTATACAAGTCAATTATACGTTTACCATTGTTTATTATAATTTATAGCCAATTACATTCATGCAATGAATAAAATGAATGAATTTATACATCATTATTATGTTAAAAAAGCGCTTATTTAAATAAGCGTTTTCATATTTTTTATTCTTGCACCTGCAATAATATAATAGCAAAAAATTATTTAATCTTTTTTAAAACATTATTTTAAAGTAAATACAAAAACGATTAACACTATCGCAGTTATCGGCATGGATTAATTTTGAACCCATCATGGGTCCATATGTCATGGTGCTGGGAATATTTCGCCGCCCGTCTCTCACTGACATAATTGAATAGAAAAATATATCCTCATTTCAGGATTGCCGCCTTTATTCTAACAGGAGTTGTTGTTTTATGCACAAAATACATTTCCGAACAGAGAGTTAATTCACCTGGACTAAGTAAGTACTGCTTAAAATGAAAACGCGTTGTTTTTGCTATTATAAACTTGAAGGATTATAGACAATTATATGTTTCTATTAATTATTTCATCACTCAAAATCTACAGTAGTTATGTTAATTAATTCTTGTGCATATTTTCAGGTTTCAACATAATCAAATGTTTTTGTATAAAGAGAAACACTAATGATTTGTTAGCAAGTCCAAAAAATGACATCAAAGTATTAAACGGTATTAGATTTACATCATCCTGTACAATTATTCTAGTTCATTCAATCATGATATGTATGTTGGTTAGTACTGGAAACGCATTGAATTTTGAAAAGGTAATTTTTCCTAATATTTAATTTAGTTTTTGTCAGATTATTCTTATAATTTTCGTTAAGGTGAATATACATAGTATAGGTGAATATAGTACATTTTCTCGGCCACCTGAAATCGCTAAAATAAAGCGACCCTTACCCATATACATACGCAATTGCAGATGCGTTGCTTACCTTTAATCGACCGAAAAAAGGGGATGCATAGAAAGATAACATTTTCCCATGCGTCCTCTAATCCGGAATATCCACTTCCACTTGCTGCTCTTTCTTTATAAGAGAAAGGGTGGAAAGAGGACTAAAATTAAGCCTCCGAGACGCACACTCATCAGACGAAAAACGGACTTGCTTCCACTTCACGACTGTCTTCTGTGTAGTCGTGGTATAAATCGGAATCAATGAAAAGGCTACTTTAAATCTTACTACTATTATAAGTAGGGATGGATGGATGTTTGTTAAAAGGTACCTCCAGTCCGACTCAACGTATCTTGCTGAAATTTGGCATATATGTAGAACATAGCCTGGAAGAACACATAGGCTACTAATTATGTTTTTAAATTCCGCGCGGACGGAGTCCAGTGTCTTAAAGTAATTGACATTACATTGACCTTGACTTTAAATGACCTTTATATTTACAGTACCTCAACAGCTACGGTATGTTGATATTAAATCTTGTCATCGTTGTGGACACTTTCTTCATTATGTCAGGCATTTTATTCATCAGAAACCTAAAAGCCAATAGCACTCCGTGGGATCTTGTAAAAATGCTTATAAAAAGATATTTTAGGTATGTATTCCTAAACTAATCATCTGTTAGTCACATGTCATCCCTTTCATTTTCTTTTACAAAATAGAGAAAACAATATGTTGTATACAAGTGTCGGCAATCGAGAGCCGTAAAACTAGACACTACGGGAATGGACTTTGGAATGCTTTTTACAGTGGTAGAGCCCGCTTTAACATCTTCGCACGAATCGGCCCGGCTCGCCGTGTGCGTGCCGGAGGCCTCATTTAGTCCTCTTTCCCTTCCCACCCTTTTTCTTATAAGGAACGGATGGGAAGTGGAAGTGGACTTTCCGGATGAGAGGATACATGGGAAGGGATCACTATAATTTTATCATGTGTTTCTGAGACCAAATCTCCATTTAAAACATATTGCTATCTCTGTTTTGTCAAAGATAATGACGAGGATGACGATATGTTTTATACAAAGATAGTCTTAGAAACCCACTGTTATTCTTTCACTTTTTCAGACTTATCTGGTGGTATATAGCTGCTCAATTGACTATAATATTTATTCTGCCTCGCTTTGGCTGCGGTCCACTTTGCGCGAGGTTTATGGATTATGAGCAAGGAGCTTGTATGAAGACATGGTGGCTAGGGTTATTGATGATGGCTAATTATGTCGACAGAACTAATATTGTTAGTATCAGTCACCCTCCTCACTACACATCCCCACTAAGGGGTTAAAGCCTACCCTTAGCTAGGGGTGACTAGGACACATTCACGGTGGCCCAGTACGAGTGACTTCACACATATCTTTGAATTACTTTTCAGATATGTGCATTTTGCTTCACGATGTTTTCTTTCATCGTAAGTACGTCGGATAAATGTACATATGTAAATCGAAAAACATATTGGTACATGGCGGGATTCGAACTCAGGACCTGCAGATTACAAGTCAAGTGATTTAATCACTGAGCCACCGATGCTCCGATTGATTTTTAATATACGTTTTTTCAAATATCTTGGCGGCTGACCTTGAACTACGCACCTACCTCGCATCTCTGTACGCCACGCTACCCATAGCTGTTCTGCTTTGCAACTGAAATGTTCCAAGCCGACAAGACATTTGAAAGAAACTATAAATAACCTTTTTTTTCTTTTTATTTCAGTGCCACGCACCATCCTGGTATATATTTAGTGATTTCCATTTAACTTTATTGGCGACAATAATATTTTGGATACATCAAAAACAACCACGAATAGGGAAGATCTGTTTCGGTATTTTAGCCTTCCTAAGTATTCTATTGCCTGGTATATTAGCGTACAATAATCCAGAATTGGGAGATAATCCATTTCACTTTCAGTAAGTTAAACTAAAATTAATTTATAATCACCATAAATCCAAACCAGGGGGTCTAAGCACGAAAATTTACAAGAAAGTGTTCGTTACATCGACAAAATTCGTAATAGATTTGCTGCTAACGGACGTAATGTAAAACGACAAATATTCTATAAATTTTATTGATGACAATACGAATAGTTTCTCGAAAACTTCCATAGAATAGCCCCCATATTAGTTAAATGCATACAAAACCAACGAATTATTTAGATGTATGGATGTAGAAGCTAAACAGCTGGGAGTGTCCCAAAATGATGTCCTTGTCTGATTACTGGCATGACTTGTGTACGCTTGAAAAAATATTCAAACATACTCTCTACTAATTATGTATATTATTAACAGATTATACAAGGTATTAAGACATGTTAAGGATTCTCCATTTTTCGTATCGTACTTACGTACGCACAATAGAGCAAGCCCTTACTTCGTGGGTCTGATTATCGGCTATGCTATGAAAACGTACGGAGCAAAGGCGTTTACTTTTACAAAGGTATGATAACATCCTAATATTTATTTGTCAATCTAAATTTAAAAACTTTAGAAACTCTAGCAACGTTTGTACCACGACCACAGTGAAGATAGTCGTCAAGTGGAAGCAATTCCACGTACAGTCTGATTTGTGCATGCAGGAGACCTAATTTTTAGTCCTCTTTTTATTCCCACGGGAACGCATTGGACGGGAAAATATCCTTTACCTGTGCATCCCCTCTTCTGCTTGTCTCTTTTGCATCTTTTCAACTGTTTGAAGATATCTGTGAGACTGCCACTTTGTTATTTTAGACAATCATCACTATAAATAACAGCTTTTACTTCGTTCCGATTTGAACGCGCCTGTTGATGTTACTTGACTGTTATGCCTATCTATATTATTAATTCGAAACCACACCACCGCCTCCTACCGCTACCAACAGCGCCAAAATGGTGAACTCCAAATGGGCACAAAATTGTTCGTCTTATAGCCACTCCATTTATAGAGTCAGTTATTAAGATGGCGGCTTCAGTTGTCATCTTTTAAAAAAAATTAAAAGATTTTAATACTCTATATTTGTTTCAGAAACAATTATTTATCAATGTTCTGGCATTTGTCGCTATAGTTGTATATTTATCTACATGGAATTATAATATGCAAGTTATGTTATTAATTGTCTTACATAGAATTATCTGGGCATTTATAATCTGTGCAATTATTGTGATGTCCGAATATGGAAGTTTGCGTAAGTGTTCTTTAGATCTTATTAAAAAAAAACTGTCGGTTGTTAGAACAATTGATCGTTTTATTATTTGCATCCATTCTTCTTTAATTATGAGTTGCCCCACGTATGCAAAAAACAATAGAGAAAGAAGAATAAAAAATTCTCCTTTTTGAAAAACACAGCGTAAAGATAATACGTCTTTTAATTAAAAGAATACTTAATTTTAATTACAAACAGATAAATGATTTTTTGTTTTTTTATTTACTTTACAAAATAACCTACCAGCCATCGTAAACTTTTTTGATGAGTGTATTTATAACGATGAGAAATACATAATTATAAGGACAATTATATTATTCAGGGCCGGTTTTAGTATTTTGGGCGCCTTGTGCAAGATTTTTGCGGCGCCCCTTTTTTGTGTCAGGCCAAATCTTCTAAAGAAAGGTATCTTAAGGGACACCGCAGGCGCCTCTTTATGTCCGACTCTGGCGCCTGGGGCGCCCCTTTTGTTCGGCGCCCTGGGCGGTTTCCCACCTCGCCCTACCCTAACACAATTTATACACAAAAATATTTTTTTTATCTCTTTCAGCGTATATCAAAGAATTTCTCTCCTGGTCTATTTTCCTGCCGCTCAGCAAATTAACATACGGGATGTACATGGTTCATTGTATTATTATCATGTATAATACCACCTCAATAAGAAGTCCTCTCCACTTCAATGGTTATGTATTGGTAAGTTGTAAAATTGTACACAGAGTCTTTAATTCAGCCTTAGTATAGATGCAAGAAGATTCCTTAGTGTCCAGCTGAACATAAAGAGAAGAGTGCTTCAACAATTTCTGTGGTTATATGGGCTAAGACCTTATTTCCACTAACAAGACTAGACAGCAGCTAAGCACTTAGTGGACAAGGATATTTATATTAACTCATACAACCAACAAATATATTGTCGAACCTGGATTTGCGAGAAACTGGATAAGAGAGAAATCTCTATCCCGGTTCCTTGAACTCTCGCTTATCCAGGATCGACTACAGTTGATGAAACAAAGTATGAAATGTTGAAAATTATCTTTCTATATTACAGACTGAAAAATTCCTGGGAACTTTAACACTATCTTGCTTCATAAGTTTGTTCTTCTTATTGTTCATCGAAGCGCCTCTCAACAATCTAGTCAAATTATTTCTAGAATCAATGTAAGTATTACTAATGTTTCCTGACTTAAAAGCTAACAAGGATTTACATAGACAGCTTCAAACATATATAACAACCCTTAGGGAACATACCCGTACTACGTGACCATTTTTTTAGTTTTTTCGACCCCTCCCTCCCCTCAGTTTTTACGTAGTAATTCATAATTATGATTTTTAATCATTTCACAAACATGAAAAAAATGGCTCATACTCGTCTTTATTGCATAAGACTGCATGCATAATAAAATTACTAGTGAATTATGTATTATGAAAAAAAAACAAGTAACGACGACGTGACAAAAACTTGAGTCACCCCTCCCCCCCCTCCTGTGACTGACCGTAGTATTTTAAAGACTCCGCTCCCCCCCCCCTAAACGGGTCACGTAGTACGGGTACGTTCCCTTAATAAAACAGAATATTTTCAATCACAAATTTAAATGTTATTTTATCTGACTTCAAAAAAGTTCTCAATTCGCTTATGTGATTTTTTTGTGGTTGCATTATTAATTAACAACTTTCTTTACAGTGGCGATAACAAAGAAAATCAGGAGTTAAAGAATAACAAGATCGATATAAATATACAGCAAACTACAGAAGTGTTTTCAGAAGAAAAGAACAAAGAATTATAATTAATATGGTGGTGTATTGGGAGAAGGTGGCAGGTGATTAACCCTATTTCCACTAGCGAAAACTAAATCATATCCTCGTTCTCATTAAACGTGAACACTCATAGTCCAAATATTATTTTTGTACAGGTACTCCTGCAGTGGAACAAGACATTAAAGATCAAGTTCTCAAAATTCACAATTACACAGTTTGATTAATACTTATTTCTAGGCACTATTAGTAAGAATCATTTGCCACCAATGACGCGCTTTCGTTACCAAGTCAAGTGTCAGATTGATTAGTGAGGGGACATAAACGTTGACATTTTAATAAGGCTAGTGTCGCGATACACCGGCATAGTGTCGAATTTTCTTTATAACATTACTTATAATTTTCTATTTAAAAATTAAACAAACAAATTACAAAATATTACATTTTAATATATCAAAAACATTTTTACAGTTAATCACAAATAGAAGTAATATTTAAATCTACAATCACAGTATATTCGTCACTTCTGTCGACGAATCTAAAAACCCATCTTCAGCGTTACTTGATACTAACTCTTCAACTAATTCGTCATATAAATCTCTCGTACTTGGGTTATGTACATTAACCAACTGTCGTATATTATCTATCATCTTCTCTATATTATCCAATGCAATTATCGTTGAATTTTCCATACCCAAAGAATCAGATTTTATATACCTTTCACTTAAAACATTATCACCAAAGTTTTCGAATGCTATTTGATCATTATCACAGCAACGATTTAACGATAAATGTACCACAGGTCGACCGTATATACAACTTATAAGTATAAACAATACTAGAGATACGAGAACGCAAAACGCTAAAAACCGCCACCACATTTTGTAGGCAACATTTTAAATACTGGACTATGGATCGCTATAGGCGACCTATTCTGTCCAATGATGATGTTATACTGATTAAAAAAAGGAACAATTCCAAATGATTTACGTTAGTATTGATTGTTATGATTTAGTATATTGTATTGGTATTCACAAACGAGCGTTTTAAAATATATAAATAAACGCTCGATTATAAACGCTTTTTTTAATATTTTTAAATTAATGATTACTAATGTCTTAAAGGTCATGAAGTACCTTATGCATATGATATTGATGTATAAAATCAGAAAGGGACGCTCTGATTATATAGTCTTTACGCACTAAAGCGGTTAGAAAAGGTTCGTTTGATTTTCTCGATATCTTATACATAAGTAAATTCGCCTGGGTTCGAATCCCGCCATGTACCAATGTGTTTTTCGATTTCCGATTTACATATGTACATTTATCCGACGTTGTTACGGTGAAGGAAAATCAAATCAAATTCAAAAGATATGTGTGAAGTCATTGTGGTTGACTATGGCCTAGTCACCCTTAACTTAGGGTAGGCTCCGAGCCCCTCGGTGGGGACGTATAGTGAGCTGATGATGATGAAGTATTATAAATTATTAGATTTCTTACGTAGCAAACACTGTACCTCATAATAAAATGGTTTTATAATATTATACAGTATAATTTAAAACCGGGCGGTGAAAGTACCAGCGTTTCAACCGCTCGTTTATCCATCGCCCGCTTCAAATACCGTGACCACATAGACGTCAACGATTTGTATGCAGATCCCGTGAGCCAGCACTCGGTCCGAAGATGCTCTGCTGACACCCGGCGGCTACGGGGATTGAATATAAATATATCAAAGGAAACGTATTAGAGCGTGCCGTGAGTCACGTAGCTACTACATGGACCCGATAAGTCGATCGAAGGTTGAAAAATACCGACACGATTCTGATCTGGAATTGATTTAGATCTGCGGTGATGCTATAATCAAGGCAAACCTTGTGCAGTATTAATCTGTTAAGTACCTACATTTATTACTTGATACTGCAACCTATCTAATTATTTAAAGGTATTGAAATTGTTCAAGGACGCGTCAAACTTTGATTCCCTTCGTTACATGAAAGAGAAAGATAATATTAATTTGTACAGAGAAAGAAAAGAGGGTTGTTCATGATATTAAAATAATTAAATTACGTCATAAATACATTTTTACATAATGTTTAAAAAATACATTTATTAACTTCATCAGAATGGAAGCGGGGGCGCCTGTCATCGTGTCTTAGGCGCCCGATCATCGGTCGCGGACGAGAGCGAAAGCGTGCCCGTAGCCCCGTCTCGATGCGTTTGAGGAACAGAGAGGTTTAGTGGGTATGCCTCCGCTATGGAGGAGAATCCCACATAACTACCGCGTCCCCCCCGGGGCGCGGAGTATGCTTAAAGCATACCTCTCTGGAAAAAAAAGGGCGCCCGATCACCGGGCCTTAAGGGCGCCAGTCAATGAGTGTACTTCTTTAAAGGCGCCACACTATTTTCGCATTCGGGCGCCCAATTTGACTAACACGGTTTTAAACTTCTGTTTTCTTTTAATTCACACTAAAAAGTTTTTAATGAAAATTTGAATTTAATTGCCATATTATCAAACTAATGTAACATAATGGATTACGATGTTCATTCAAAAATTCAAAATCTATTGTTAGTTATAAACCTATGACTGAATTCTCCTATTGTATTCAAATATTATGCTATAAGTTATATAAACAAGTGTACACGAATCTAATGAAATGCAGATTAAAAAAAAAACATTAATGACATCATACTTACAATCAAATTTACTACTAAATTAAACTCCTTTTCCACTAACGATTACCCGAACAACATTAAAATTGCTACATTTAAAGTAGCATATTAGCTTTAACCCTTATTTTTGTCAAGATTTCTTTTTTGAAGAAAAGCAAAAGACAAATTAAAAAAAAAAACTAAGTTAAAAATTATTTTATAGTGATCGTATATTTTTATAAAGTTGTATGTATGGAAGAGCGTCGGTGGCTCAGTGGTCAAGCACTTGACTTGTAATCTGCAGGTCCTGGGTTCGAATCCCGCCATGTACCAATGTGTTTTTCGATTTCCGATTTACATATGTACATTTATCCGACGTTCTTACGGTGAAGGAAAACATCGTGATGCAACCTGCACATATCTGAGAAGAAATTCAAAGATATGTGTGAAGTCAACCAACCCGCACTGGGCCAGCGTGGTTGACTATGACCTAATCACCCTTAACTTAGAGTAGGCTCCGAGCCGCTCGGTGAGGACGGATAGTGAGCCGATGATGATGTATGGTATACTATACAAAATGAACATAAGGGTTAAAGATATAATTGAGCGCGACAAAACCCTGCAGCTAGACGCACTAGTGACTTTTGATTTTAAAACGTTTCATTAAAGATTTTTCTCATAAATTCATTTCCATTTTTAAATTGGTATCTGAAATTTCCTTTTCTATTTGCGAAAAAAGATATTCTTTCGACGAACGTTTGAATTTTATCTAAAAATGCAATAGTATCTGGCAATTAAAAACTCTAAAATCGGTTAACAAATTCACAAAGATGAAACTGGCTGAAAAAAATAGAAAAACGAAAAAAAAATTACATTGTTTATTAAATAACTAGCAGTCGCCCGCGACTCCGTCCGTGTGGATATATAAAGAAACTTAATTAGTGTAGCCTATGTATTCTTTCAGACTATGTTCTATACGTATGCCAAATTTAATCGAGATCCGTTCAACCGTTCTAGAAATATCTTCAAACACCCATCCAACCTCATCTCATCCATCTAAACATTTGCATTTATTATCATCATAATCAGCTCACTATACATCCCCACCGAGGGACTCGGAGCCTACCCTAAGTTAAGGGTGATTAGGCCATAGTCGATCACGCTGGCCAAGTGCGGGTTGGTTGACTTCACACATGTCTTTTGAATTTCTTCTCAGATATGTGCAGGTTGCATCACGATGTTTTCCTTCGCCGTAAGAACGTCGGATAAATGTACATATGTAAATCGGAAATGGAAAAACACATTGGTACATGGCGGGATTCGAACCCAGGACCTGCAGATTGCAAGTCAAGTGCTTGACCACTGAGCCACCGACGCTCCATACTTACAAGTCCATATAAACCAAAAACCCCTCCATCTAGACGGACAAAAAGTCGGGAAACCTTACGAATTTACACAATACCGTATCCATCATAGTATATTATGTGAGGTACTTTCATTCGCAGAGCCTTTATAATTGACGTCAAAACGGTATGATTAATGTAGGGTTCAAGTTCTAGCGTGTCACAGGGTCGGAATCATTTGGGATCTAATTATCATATTGTTTGTAATATTTGCTTATAACTTCACGTTCTTATTTGAATTTAAATTTTAATTAATTAAATACTAGCTCTTGACTAAAACCCAATTAGTAGCCTATATGTTCTTACAGACTATGTGATATCTATGCCAAATTACATCGATATCCATTGAGGTGTTCTGGAGATCTAACAAAGGTCCATCCATCTAAACATTCTAATTTATATTAGTAAGATTTTACTCTATCTGTGCTTTATATTTGGTATAATTATAGTATAAAAACGCGCTAAGCAACAAGCTTTTTTGAAATTTATTATATGTTAATTTTAAAAGGAAATTTATTAACTATTTTTTGATTTATACGATAAAATTAAGCTCATTTTCTTTTTTTCCTGTACTTCGTCTAAAAATGCTTTTCTGATAGTACTAGTAGTTCTGTAGGTAGTAGAAAATCTAGGCAACGGTGATTTAAGATTGGTTAAATCACTCGTTTAATAATTCTTAAATAAAAAAATATCGAATACGGCCCAGTACTCAACTTATTGACGCCAACGGTAGCAAATCCCTAAGTCATGTTGCTAATGAAAGTTCAAAGTTGCCATGGTTACCTTTTAAGAAGATTCACATAAAACATTTAAAACCAGATATATAACACAGAAATAGAAAACTTAATGCCATCATCATCATCAGCTCACTGTACGTCCCCACCGAGGGACTCGGAGCCTACCCTAAGTTAGTGACCAGATCATAGTCAACCACGCTGACCAAATGCGGGTTGGTTCACTTCACACATATCTTTGAATTTCTTCTCAGACATGTGCAGGTTGCATCACGTTTTCCTTCACCGTAAGAACGTCGGATAAATGTACATATGTAAATCGAAAAACACATTGGTACATGGCGGGATTCGAACCCAGGACCTGCAGATTGCAAGTCAAGTGCTTGACCACTGAGCCATCGACGATCTTTAATACCATACTTACGCCCAATCTCGGGAACGGCACTTAGTATACATTTATTAACAGAGAGTCACACTTAGGTATCATGTAAACTCTAAATGTACCAGTTAGATTCGTTTCTCAGTATCTCAATGGCAGTACTGTACAATTCTACTGTTCTGCCCTTGTGTAAAACAAGCATAAATTAAAACCTTTGACGATAGAAAAACGGACTAGACAAAGAACCGCCATTATACTAAATAAACGGCTACATTTCGCGGCGATTTAGGTAAATATGATAAACATTAATACTAATTCAAAAATTCACACACAAAACGAGCACACAAGCAAGCAAGTTTAGAATTGAGAAGTTAAAGTTTGTTTTAACCCTTACTTTTATTTTGTATAGTATACCATACATACAACTTTATAAAAATATAAGATTACTATAAAATAATTTACAACTTTGTTTTTTCTTCAAAAAAGAAATCTTGCCGCAGTAAGGGTTAATTTGACAGGCAGAGCAGAGCTTGACGCGTCCTGTCTTTCAAAGTCAAAGTGTAAAACTATCCGATAGTCAAATACTCATACATTTTGCGATGTAAGCATTTTGCTTGTTGTTAATTATACGTAATACAATGCGGCAGGGGGCGCTGCGGACTTATTGCGAATCATTAATGCGCCAAATGGTGCGAGGTTGCATCTTTTTGTGTTAATAAAATTTGAGCACAGTAAAAGCGATGCTATTACTATGATTAACAACTCACTTTTTAGTTTATTGTACAAATAAATCAACACTTTACACTAAAAGCGATGCTATAAATGCATAATTGTTACTCCGCAGCATTTCCTCTTCCAGGGAAGTCACTAAAAGATAAAAGAGTACATTAAATTAGTTTTATCATCATCAGCTCAATATACGTCCCCACTGAAGGGCTCTGAGCCTACCCGAAGTGACTAGGCCATAGTCAACAATGCCAAACTGCGGGTTGACTTCACACATATCTTCGAATTCGCAGATATATGCAGCATCACGAAGTTTTCCTTCACCGTAAGAACACGGGATAAATTTACGTAAATCGAAAATCACATTAGTACATGGCGGGATTCGAACCCAGGACCTATAAATAACTAGTGCTTAACCACTAAACCACCGACGTGTAAATAAATAAAAAATAATTCATCACCCAATGATAGAATTTATTTAACTTATTTAAAATATAATTTACATTAGTTAATTTTAATTTACAACTAATTTAACTTATATTATTTATTGTAGTTTCTCCTTTTCGTCGATGGATGGCGCCTCTGTCAGTAATTCATTGCTTAAATATTCATTATCTACTTGCAGCTTGACTTTTGTTTGTTTGTTCCCACTGAAAACATAAAAAAATGTGTGTGAATTCAATAAAAATAAGAAATTCACTAGCTGTCGCCGGCGACTCGGTCCGTGCGGTATTTAAAAAAAAACATATTAAGTAACCTATGTGTTCTTCCAGACTATGCTCTATATGTATGTCAAATTTCATCACTTTACTTTCAAACAAATATCCATCTAAACATTCGCATTTATCATTATCATCATCAGCCTACTATACGTCCCCACTGAGGAGCCTACCCTAAGGTAGTGACTAGATCATAGTCAACACTGGCCCAGTACGGGTTGACTTCACACATATCTTTGACTTTCTCAGATATGTGCAGCATCACGATGTTTTCCTTTACCGTAAGAACATCGGATAAATGTACATATGTAAATCGGAAATCGAATAACATTGGTACATGACGGGATTCGAACCCAGGACCTGCAGATTGCAAGGCTTGCCTCCTGAGCCACAGGCGCTCTTCATTCGCATTTATAATATTAATAAAATAACAATAGGCAATTCTAATTATTGACAGCAACGAAAATACTTACATAGACTTCAAGCAAAGTTGTACTAAATTATTCAATGGCGCTTCGATAAACAGTAAGAAGAACAAACTTATAAAAGCAGACAAAGTTAATTGTCCAAAGAATCTTTCTGCCTGTAACATAATTATCGCATATTGAGTGCAAAGTTATCATCCTGCGCAGACGTGGCATAATGACGTGAACCTTTGCCTTTTTAATTAATAAAAAAAATATAGAGTAGATAAAATAACGCGGGAAATTAGTGAGGGAACATAAACGTTGACATTTATAAGGTTTTGTTGCGTCAATACACTGTCACATTTTCGGATTTTTCTACCTAACAATACTTACCAAAATATGAGCATTGTAATGAAGTCGACCTCTAGTTGAGATCATATTTGATGTTAAAGTCAAAAAGTGGATGAAATAAATTCCATAAGTTAATTTACTAAGAGGCGCGAAAATCGACCAAGAGAGGAATCCTTTCATGGAAGCTAAAACAAAAAGAAAAAACTTAAAATTTCACTACACAATTAGTATTTAATTACAGATTCTGGTCATAATAAACACACACATTTTTAATAACCGACTTCAAACAGGAAGATTCCAATATACCAAGCTAACATAATCGTGTTAATAAAAACATCAACATAGGATTTTAGTCATCCTATATTTTAAAAAAGATACATGGATGGCTTTAAAAACAAATACAGTCGAACTACTGTAAAAGAGTCGTTGTCCGGTCCCGACAGACGACTTCCATAGCGAGAAACTCAGGTATAAGAGAAACCTGCAAAAGCGTCTAAAACATCTCAGCCCTTTCCACACTCGCTTATGCAGATTTGACTTTAGTCAGTAACTAGTTGTCGTGACTCCGTCCGGAATTATAAAAAAACACAATAACTACCCTATGTGTTTTTCCAGAGTATATTTTTCATATATGCCAAATTTTAGCCAGATCCAGCAGTTTCAAAGATCATCATCAGCTCACTAAACGACCCCACTGAATGGATCGTTGCTTACCCTTAGTTAGGAGTGACTACGCCATAGTCGCTGACCCAGTACAGTTTGGTTTACTTCACACTTATCTTTTGGATTTATTCGCAGCATTCGCATTTATAATATTAGTAAAATAAGCAATAAAAAATTGCAAGAGAATACTTACGCCACTTTCCATATTCACATAAAGCTATTATTGCGCAGACAAAAATAGCCCATCCGTATCTCATAAGTACTAACATAAGAGCAACTTTTAAATTGTCACTCATAGAAATAAACGGATATGAAAGTATTCCTGCCACGATTCCAGCCAAGATAATGTGTAAATTCTAAAATAAATATAATAAATTAGATAAAACTTTAAGACATTCGCTGCATCTGAGTGGAAATCCCATCCATCCAATCTATCGCCCGACAGTTAGACGAAACGTTACGGGTGGTGAGCGTCACCGTCTTTTTCTCCCCGATATTTACACATATTTTTGAATTACTTCTCAGATATGTGCAACATCATCATTCCTTCACAGTAAGAACTTCGGATAAATATATGTAAATCGAAGACACATTGGTGTCAAAAACACATGAGTACTTATGACACGCTCCCGTTACCACGTCAAGTGTTAAATTCCATTAGTGAGGGGACACAAGCGTCGACAACTCAATAATACTAGTGTTGTGCCGGTACACCGACGCAGTGTCGGATTTTCTTTTTAACAGTAAACAGCGGGTTTCGAACGTACGACTTGCAGATAACAAATCAAGTGCTTAACCCCTGAGCCACCGACTCTCGCGAGTTTATTAGAAATTACCTTTGTGATCCTTTGGAAAGATATTTCTTTGTAATTAGACATAATGTATCCCAACCCCATTCCAATAATATAGGGGATGGCTCTGTTATGAGTCTGCGTGTACATTGCTACCATTGAGTAGTTTTCAGAAGTTCTTAACTTATTAAAAGTCCTGTAAGAAATAAAAATAAATAACACAATAAGTGCCAGAGTGATCAACACTTACAATTAAAAAGCTGTCACTATCGGCTTTCAAAAGGTTAAGTTTTTATCGTAAAAAACTAAATCGTTAAAGCAATTAAGCTAATATTTTAAACAAACGAGTGGTCGATCATTGTAGGAGATTTTTTTGGGTAATAAATAGTTTTTATGCACTTCTCCACATTAACTTTAGCTACGTCAAATTCGGCTTAAAATCGTCTTCACGCTTAGTAAACAACGGCAAACAGCGAATATCAAACAAATATTATGTGTGGGTAGATGTTTGCCTGTTTTTGTTTGATGTTTGCTGTTTGTGCCAGTGATCGGCGTAGGTACAGATTTCTACACAAATCAAACTACATTGCCAATCTGGAATAAACCACCAAAGTCTCCAAGCTTGGTGATGTCTGGTTGTATTATTTGTGATCGGTGTTTGGCATATGTTTGGTAATTGTGGCTATTTGTGGCAAACATCAAGAATGAGAAGCCGACTTGAAAAGGTTTCGCTTCAAATAATATAGAGATTACTTACTCAAAATCTATCTTTAATTTCGTTAATTCAGGGAAATCGTAAATAGCTAGAGCTGTAAATAACGTGCTTAGTACGGTGAGGATGATGAAACAAGTCATGCCAATACGTCTGTTTCTTTGGAAGATCCAGAGCAATATAATACCAACGACAGACATATGAAAGTCGCAGTACACGTACCATGCACTGGGATAACACTGAAATAAAAAAACATATTTTACTTCATCTAATTAAAAAGAAAAACAATAGGAGAAGGTAAAGACGTATATAAAGAGACAAGCTAACGTATTGTAACAATTTATAGGAAAGAAACAGAGTAATCTTATTATCTATATAATATATAAAAGATATATAATATATAAAAGAAAGTCGTGTTAGTTACACTATTTATAACTCAAGAACGACTTTACCGATATGCCTGAAAATTGGTAAGGAGGTAGCTTAGAGCCAGGAGACTGACATAGGATACTATTTAGTATTTTTTTTTCGAATTTATGCCTTGAAGAACTGTTTTTTTATTAACTTACTAATGTTGTAAATGCGAATGTTTAGATAGATGTGATGTAGATGGATGGATGGGTGTTTTAAGATATCTCTAGAACGGATGAACGGATCTCGATTAAATTTGGCATACGTATAGAACATAGTCTGAAAGAACACATAGGCTACACTAATTATGTTTTTTTTATATATCCACGCGGACGGAGTCGCGGGCGACAGCTAGTAATATTATAAATGCGAAAGTTTAGATGGATGGATATTTATTTCAAGGTATCTCCAGAATGGCTCAATGGAACTCAATGAAATTTTCCCAGACCTAAAATAGACTGGAAAAAGACATTAGTAACTTATTACTCCTTTTTAATTTCACACGGATGGCGTCTTAGGCAAATTGAATATAAATTAAGACAAGATAAAATAAAAAAGGCCTTAAATCATTATTGACGTACATTTATATGTAACCTATAATAAAAAACTTTACTTTTGTATTCTGACTCCTAGAACTTCTTAAACCGACCCACTTTGCAAATGCTGCTTTAGTTAACTGCTGTTAAACTACTAATTATTCTTCCAAAAAAGTACTTACTATTTGTGATAGTTCGACATAATTGCCTATCATGAGCAAACCCAGCCACCAAGTCTTGTAGCAAGCCCCACCTTCGCGTTGGAAGTATTTATCACATAGCGGACCACAGCCAAACCGTGGCAAGACGAAGAAAATTATCAAGAGTGTTGCCATGTACCACCATATAAGTCTAAAAAAACATACGGTTATTCTAAAATCAAACAACGAACGAACAATTGGGACAAGAAAATTGTTTCTTTTAAATACGTATATGGTCCGTATATCTTACTATTTAACTAATATTATAAATGCGAATATATGGATGCATGAATGGATGGATGTTTGTTAGAAGGTATCTCCAGAAAGGCGGCATAGATCTTAGTAAAATTTAGCAAAGATGTAGAACATAGTCTGAAAGAACACATAGGCTATTCAGTTTTTTTTTAATTTCCCGTTAACGTAGTCGCAGGCCATTCGTAACTTACCTAAAATATCGTTTGATTATGAATTCTACAACTTCCCGAATGGAACGTTTGCGGGTATTGTTCCTTATCATCAACAAACCTGACAATACAAAAAACGTATCCACAACAATTACTAATTCCGATGCATATAATCCATAACTACTGAAAAGCTGAAATAGGAAAATGTTCAAATTTAATTACCAAGTTTAAGTCTCGACAAATCAACTGCTTTTGCGTTGCTTGATGCAACGCAAAAGCAGTTTAATGAAAGCAAAATTAGGCCTAATTTTAGTCCTCTTACTCTTCCCGCCCTTTTTCTTATAAGGAAAGGTTGAGAAGTGGACTTTCCGGATGAGAGTAATAACGTGCCAAATGAGCAGGCGGCTCGAAATTCCTCAAACTAAGGAAACAACATCCGTAATCGCATATGCTTTAGCTACCTTCATTAGCCGGAGAGGGGAAGCACAGAGAGGGTAAATTTCCACATCCTATGCGTCCACTCCTCTGTCAAATCCACTTCCCCTTCCCATCCTTCCTTTACACGAAAAGGGTAGGAAGCGAAAGAGTACTAAAATTGGGCCTATAGCAAGCACACTCTACAATAAAATACAACAAAATGCAAGATTGCTTCCACTTTACACCTATCTTCCGTGTTGTCGTAGTACTACACCGGGCTAGCCGCCTAATTCGTGCAATGGGTGTTTTTGCTGGCGTCTACCACTGTTAATCTGTCTGTCCCCTACTTCTTACGTTAAGAATTTTATTAATATCTTTATCAGTCTTAGCGTTAAAAATTGTAGTCTCACGTTTGAAGGATTTGGAATGTGTAAGTGTACGCGAATTTTCAATTATATTACCTCTTCATGATCCATTCCATTGGCTGCTGATATTGCCACGATGGTAGTAACTGCGTGCGTTAATACAATCAAAGAACAAGACAGAAATCTGATTCCGTGTAAGCATTTTATATCGTTTTTATTTTCTTCTAAGAAGTCTTTAATATTCCTTTTGATGCAAAAGCAATTCAATAGTTTCGTTACTGAAAATTTGAATTCACAAAGAAATAGGTATATTAAATTATTTAAACTGTCGTGAGACATTATCATGAATTCATAACGGCTACACCTCTCACGTATGATCGTCCGTAATCGGCACCGACTAGTTCCTAACCGACGTGGCGCGTCCGCGCCGAAATTAGTCGGTGCCGAGTGGACGAGCATATGTGAGTGTTTTGGTCATATATTTTACTACTTCTAGTACTCCTTAATTCTATCTCAAACATAATTACAATCTAATTATTGGAATTTTATATAGGAGTTTCTTATTAAGGACATTTGTTACTTACAATATGATGTATCTTCTGCGTTTTGTTTGGATAAATATAAAGTATTAGTTAAAACCACTCCTGATATAAAAAGTATAGCAATTCTAGAAACAAGAAAGAAAACAAGATTACGATAATGTCATCTCTCATCTTCATAGATTCAAATATCGTATAGCAAATTGTCGTAAAAAAATAATTGCTAATTGAATTTTGAAGGTCATATGAGATTGTACCGAAATGGGTAGCAAAAAATGTCATCTGCTATTCATTTTTGCTATGATTACGAGTTTAAATAATTCTTACATCAAGTAATAATGTCCATCAACATGCTTGTTCACTTCTCCTGCAGGTTCACAGTTATTAATTGTCACATCCATTGGAGTTTGCAATTTTGATAGATGACTTTGTTTGAAAAGAGCCGACACAAAGGTCTTCACTGATTTCTTTTGACAGATTTCTGGTACACAAACTCCCCAGCTTAGCGTGTTGAATCGTAAATTAAGAAACGTCCTTGTCTTAAAAGAAGAAACAATAAAAAGAATTTTGTTTGTACTTATTAAAATATTTTAAGATCTTTAGTCTTAAAGGAATAAAGTGTATTACTGATGTACACGAACAGGCTAAATGGTGGTATTTTATACCTGACGATAAAGATGACGTTGACTGTGATGATGATGACGTTGACGTTGAAGATGATGACCTAGACGATGACGACAACGATGATAACGATTATTATGATGACGATAGTGATGATCATTATTAAAAGCATTATCAAACTTACTTGTATATATTCGTCCAATGACGAGTAAGGATCGATTTCATTTATATATATATCCTTTTCCTTAGGGGTTCTCCAAATAATGTTTGCCCTACAATATTGTGTTCGAAATGGTAATAAAGAATCAGCAACTTTCTCGCTCAAGCATTGATCGTAGTTACCGAAATGTTCTTTGGAACCATATAATTGTCCAACTGGTAACTGTATACTGTCCCATACTAAAATAATGGATTCTATCAGTAAAAGAGACAATGGATTTTATCAAAGTTAATTTAAAGACCGGCCGGTCCAGATATTACTGGCGAGACGCGGTAAAACTGGGCCTGCGGGATCTAAAAGCAATTGTCAGGAGAAGGCGCAGGATAGGAGACTTTGGTGATCTGTGTCAAAGGCCCAGAACCACTTTGGGTCGCTGCACCAGCGAAGTAAGAATTTAATTTACTTAACTAGTGTAAAGATTGGACCAAAAAGCATACCTTGGGGTAAACCATGATCATTACTAAAAAAAATTATTAATCCAACCTAAATCTCAACTTTAAAGATAATATCAAATTTAATAACGAATCCAATTATTAATTACAAACAATATGTGTCGTAGATTAAAAAATAATCGGTAAAAGTTATGATTAACTATATCAAAAGCTGTACCAAAATCAATTTATTTATATGTTACTCTTACTATATCTATATTACTTACTCCAAGTTGCCCAAATAGTTGTATTTTTAACATTATCGATTATTTTCAATATTTGATTAAGACAAGGCTTTTCTTCCTCTGTCCAACTGGACATTAATAAGTCTTTCCTCACTATATCTATATAAGACTCATATTCTGCTATAATTTTAACTGCTTCTTTTGCGTTTCCATTGTTGCCTACAATGTTATCGATAGAAATAAATAAAATTAACTTTTGACTCTAATTAGCACACTCCTGATATCTCTCTGGCTAACACATTATATCTACGTATGGTCGGTTTCGGATGCTTCCCTTTCTTAATATATTAACAATTTGAACGACATAAGTTATAGGACTACTTCTTACAAATATTATAAATGCAAATTTTTGAAGGTATCTCCAGAACGGCTGCATGGATCTTGATGAAATTTGGCATACATGTAGAATATAGTCCGGAAGAACACATAGGCTACTAACTAAAATTTTAATACCGCGCTAACCGACTCACGTGCGACATCTAGACAAATATAAATATACTAGCTGTCGCCCGAGACTATATCCGCGCGGAATTAAAAACAAACAAAATTAGTAAACTGTATGTTCTTCCACACCATGTTTTGCATCTATGCCAATTTTTTTTTATATCATAAGGTGGCAAACGAGCGAGCGGCCACCTGAAATCACTGAAATAGCGAAGTGACCGTTGCCCATAGACAAACGCAATTGCATATGCGTTGACTACCTTTAATCGAAGGAGGAGAGGATGCACAGAAATAAAATACGTAAATATATCCAAGCATCCTCGCCTCCGGAAAGTTCACTTCCACTTCCCATGCTTTCCTTATAAGAAAAAGGGTGGTCAGGTAAAGAGGACTAAATTACAGCAAGATTCATACAGCTGTACTTGAGATACCTTCAAACAAACATTCGCATTAATATTAGTAAGAAGTAAGATAAAAACCACAATTTAAATATACTGTAATTTAGAGTTATTAAGGGCATCAATGTCGATTATCAATCGCTGTTCACACCGTACAACATTATAACTAATACGTAAACTCACCGATAAAAAGAATAATAACAAAAACGGCGACCACTTTCATTGTTGTCAAGAATTGTATTGCGACGAACAAAGCTAAATAACTAGTAAGTAAAAAAAATACAATGACATTTTTTCCCTTTTTTTTTTCTCGAGTATCATCTTCCGCCACCTTTTTGTCACGCTTCTTTCGTAACGCAACTATTTACATATTTATTTTGTCCCTCACGCTCGCCCATTGGTTGAAATTCGACCAGAGACAAGATTTTTTTTTAATCAAAATTTGCTTTATGCACTTCTTAAGATATCGGTACTATATCAGACGGAAGAAAAACTTAAAATTAATGGTTTATTCAAATTAACCAGTTAATACCCTGTACTGGAATAAACCAATTTTACTTCCTACTAATCTTACTAATATATGGATGGATGTTTATTTGAATATATCTCCAGAACAGCTGCATAGATCTCGCTATTTGGTACAGATGTAGGACATTGTCTGGAAGAACACATAGGCTTCTTCTTCTTCTACCTCTACAGCCCTTTGTGTGCCTTGGCTTGGTCTATCTCTGGCCACGGACTTCCAATTTGCTATGCCCACTTTTTTTGCGTCCTTATTTACGCCGTCTATCCATCGGAGCTTTGGTCTCCCTCGACTTCGACGACCTTCGGGATTACTCGCCATAACACTTTTATAGACTCTGGCTTCATCCATCCGCTCCACGTGGCCGGCCCATCTAAGCCTGTTCAATTTGATGTCTCGCCACGTGCAGCTCCTGGTACAAGTCATAGAGCGAACACATAGGCTACTAAGTTTTTTATTTCCGGACGTCGACAGCTAGTATATACACGAATTACCTATGTGTATCTCCAGAATAACACAACGGATCTTAGTCTGCCATCTTAGGATAGCCTGGAAGACCTCATTGGCTACTAATTATTATTTAAATCCCGCGCGGAGTCGCCGACGACAGCTAGACAGTTTTATTATAACTGGATAGTATGACTGTTTAGTTAAATCGTTAGTATATAGGCAAATGTGAAATGTAAAGTTTAATATGTTAATTAAGAACTATTGAAAATATTTATAATTACATGATGTAAACGAAAAGATTATACATGTTAATTTATTTTTGAGTTACAACATATAACATAAAAAAAATTCTAAACTCTCTTTCAAATGAATAGATAATTAGAAAAAAATTAATGCTTGCCTGATACGAAAATGTAACAATAAAAACAATTATGTATAGAATCATCATTATATATGTTTTTAACAATAACAAAAAAATATTTTTTTAATTATAATCTGCTTAAAATAAATCGTCGTCGTCACATCTAAAATAAAATATGGAAATAAAACACTTCATTTCATAACAACATATATTAACAACAATTTAAATAACAATCACAACAACAATAACAATAACAATCACACTCAACAATAACAACACACAACAAAACACAAAACATCTTAAATATTAAATCTTATGGGATCCTTTCTTCGTATGAATAATTGTTTCATAAACAGGGACTTTAAATGGTATTGGCTTTTCTACTGGAACAATGATATGTTTCACAACTTCAAACGGAACATCCTTGAACTTCGGAACATGTACCGTCTTCTCCACTGGATAAGGTACTGACTTTTCAACAGGAATGGATACTTCTTTGATAATAGGTATAACAACTGCTTTAGGAACCGGCACTTGTATAGGAACCGGATGAGGTACAGGTATCAAGACGGGCTGGTTGATTTTAAACTCTACATTTTTATGAACCGGTACAACTATCTCTTTGTAATGCTTCACCGGTTCAGGATTCTCTTCTTCTACATGCTGATGTACTGGATATGAATGGGATTTTAGATCATGACCACCAAAATCATGGCCGCCGAAACTTTGACCACCGAAATCATGGCCTGTACTGCCATGATCACTTAAAGAACTGCCTTCATCACCAAAGTTGTATCCTCCTGAGAATTCACTGGGCTGTACCTGGATAAGAAAAATGGTGCTTAAACTCATCATCAGCTATTTCTCTGTTGATCGACCGATCTAACTCTTACTAATATTATAAATGGGAATGTTTGGATGGGTGTTTATTAGAAGATATCTCCAGAACGGCTGCATAGATCTCGCTGAAAGTCATAGAACATAGTCTGGAAGAACACCACATAATTATAAAGATTTTTTCTTTAATTCTGCGAGAACGGATTCAAGGCTGACAGCTATTTATTGAATAATATACATACTTTTCTGTATTTCTACTACACAGAGTCATTAAGTGATCATTAAGTTTAAGAACTTTCATAAATGTAGAATTATTAAACTACTGAATTTGTCTGATTGCGTTTTCAAATAAAAAATAGAAAGATATCGCTATAGAATTATTTTTCAAAAGTTAACTTTGATATTTAAATTTAACCAAACTAATGTTCTTCGAAGCAAAGTTTAAAATTATTAGCGCTGTAAAATTTCAATTTGTACAATTCGATGCACTTAACGTTTTCGCTTCCCGAATTAGGATACGGGAGTAAGGCATAAGAGATAGCGGGCCATCATCATCAGCTCACTATATATCCCCACTGAGGGGCTCGGAGTCTACCCTAAGTTAAGGGTAACTAAGAGATAGCGGTTATATCTTTGAAATAACCATAACAAGGAAGTTGTTAAATCGTTATGATAAGTAACTTTCTCAAATCCCTAGGTCCCAAGGTCAGCTCAGTATGTACTCCTCCATAAACACTCAATCAGCCGTCCTGAATCCATTCCCTTCTTACACATATCCTCTTTCACACAGTCCATACATACTTCATCATCATCAGCTCACTAAACGTCCCCACTGAGGGGCTCGGAGCCTACCCTAAGTTAAGGGTGATTAGGCCATAGTCAACCACGCTGGCCATGTGCGGGTTGGTTGACTTCACACATATCTTTGAATTTCTTATCAGATATGTGCAGGTTGCATCACGATGTTTTCCTTCACCTTAAGAACGTCGGATAAATGTACACATGTAAATTGGGAATGAAAAAACACATTGGTACATGGCGGGATTCGAACCCATGTCCTGCAGATTGCAAGTCAACTGCTTGACCCCTGAGCCACCGACGCTATACATACATAACTATATCCATTGAGAAAATATTTAGTAAATATAATTTTGAATACATAAGTAGATAAAATTCTACTAATATTATAAATTCGATAGTTTGCATGAATGGGTGGATGGATGTTTGTTAGAAGGTTTGTAGGAAGAACAGATAGGCATGTGATCTCGGAAATTATATATTTCCCGTCCATTACTAAGTTTTTTTTTAATTCCGCACGGACTGCTGTCGCGGACACCTAGTATTAAGATACAGTCGAGCTTAGAAACTTCTTTGCATTAAAACTGAATTTGTATAAAATAATCTTTTAATATCAGTATGTCAATGGCAATAATTTTTAATACATCTACCAAATTAAATAGATTTTTATCTAAATCCCGCTATCGCTCTTGACTTAGTACCTAAGATCCGTTTGCACGACACAGTTAAAAAGTTGAAAAAAAAACCATCGCAGCGACGAGCAGTTAACCGAACTGCAGTTAGCTTTTACTCTCTTTCTGAACCGTTTATTTTTTAACTGTTATTCAATGGCTTGCATAACACTAACTGTTACGGTGAATGTTCTCGCGTACTGGCAAACTTGAGTAACACTGCTGTTAAAATTATTTTCTCCTTATACATTGTTTTACTTCAATCCTTTAGAATCGTAATTAACACTTATAGATAATTTCAATTAAGATCAATTACACTACACGCACAAACAACTTACAATAGACAATTAAACATTCCTTTTTTTCAGTTTACTGGCTGGTGCTCTAATAAGCGAAATTGCGCCATCTATTAGCTACATTTTAAAATTAAAATGTTTAATACAACTTTGTTATTTAACATACTCTATAGAACTCGGGGAAAGTCGTCAAAAAAAGGTAGAGTCTAGAGAGGAATGGCGGCGGCTCGTAAAGCGAGTCATCGATACGTGATGACCACGACCAGTCTGTCTTTGCAGCGATAAAGAAGGAATAACACTCTGGGAAAGAACACGAATCGAATGACACCTCGATGGTCAAAATCAATTCCATCGTTTAGGCTCTTGGCTTTCTAAAAAATATTTACATACATACAAACCCAACAAACAAACTTACATCGGGTCAGCCAGGTAAAAAAAAATTATTAAAAATTCACATTATGAAAATGGCAACATTGAGCGAAACGATTATTTACGTAGGAGTTTGGTAAAGAGGAGGGTAATTTTTTAGTTCTGTGAATACTACGTATAATGTATTGTGATCATAAAAAAAGATTTTCACATTCCCCTTAAGAAATTACTATAGAAAAATATTAATAATTTTTGATACTTTATATTCTCAGCCTCAACATTTTAAGTAAGGAAATATACCTGTGTTTAATATCAGTTAGATTTTATAACTGCTGTCGGCAATATATCCATGGCAGGGTAATGCTGGCAAAAGATTAAGGCTCGAAACCCACCTGGATGCTTTATAATAAAAAATAAAAATATGTGGCGCGCAATAACCTTAACTTTACGCTCTTTTATTATTTTCTGTTAGCGAAAAAAACATTACGATTTCTTAAGATTAGAGATCCTTTGGTTATGGTGAAAAATCTGCCAAAAACCCAAAGGAAACTTGTGACAGTTTTTTGACATTAACAGAGTGCCTACAAGTTTTAAAGGTTGCCAGTAAGCAAAAATTTCCCAACTTCTTCCGAAAATCCATGTTACAACTACAAAATTTGATTTGCAACTTATTACCTGAGTTCTTATAATAATTCTTTACTATTTAAATTGATACATCCAAACAAAGCAAATTAACCTACATGTTGTAACATGCGTAATATTAGGTAATTTCAAAATTGTGAAAATGGCAACACTAAACAGTGCAGCTCTCTCATTGGTCAAAAAATGACGCCGTCAAGATGACATTAGTTCGCATAAATTCCAACGTACTAAAGTCAGATTGAAGCAGTGTTTTGTTATTTTACTAATTACTAACATTACTAAAATATAACAACGAATAAAACCCAGTATTTAAATGTTGGGGGGAAAGATTTAGCTACAGCTACAAAGTGAAAAAGTTAGTAAGACTAAATATAATAAAGTTTGAAAGTAACCAGTGTTGTAAACAAAAAGGTTATTAAATGTGAAGCAAAATTTTAACGAAAAATAAGACCAGTTGTACGGAATCGCTGTGCTTTGGTGATTGAAATGTTTTCCACACGCGCCGAGGTAACCCAAAACTCTTGAATTTTTAACGGGCTCGGATATAAATCTTATTTTTACGAGCGAACATCAAACGTTAAGAAATATATTTTACATGTCCCTAACAATTTTCTTTACCGAAAACAAACTGAGCCTAAAGATCGGATAAATTATTTCATTGAAATTGAAAAACTCTAAATAAAATCCAAAAAAATCTTATGTTTTTTTATTATCCGACTTCGAGAAGGTTATTTTTTTTAATTTGAAAACTGGGACGAAAAACGATTAAACCTTAAAATTATCATAGTTCTTGCTAATATTATAAATGCGAAAGTTTGAATGGATGTTTGTAACGTATCTCCAAAACAACTAAGCGGATATCAGTGAAATTTGGCACACATATAGAACATAGTCTGGAAGAACACAAAGACTTACTAAATTTTTTAACGTCTTTTCAGTGTTACCACAGCCAAAGTATGCTTGTCACCTATGAAAAAAAGTATACGGAATTTTGACAGAAGACAGATAAACCTACTGTTAGGAAGAAAATCCGACAGTGTGCCGGTGTACCGGCGCAACACTAGCCTGATTAAAATATCAACGTTTATATCCCCTCACTAATCATTCTGACATTTGACTTGGTAACGAAAGCGCGTCTTTAGCACCGAATGATTCCAACTCATAATGTCTAAACTACTTAACACATTCTATGCCACAAGGAAGTTAACTTTATCAGACTTGTTGGTTCAATCGGCGGCATTGAACGTGTTATAACCTCTAACCTGCTGATCTTCATGTAGGTTGTAAGCTTGAAAGTTGCCGTACGGTACCCACTGCATCTGATCAGCCGACGCTAGCGCCACCACGGCTAGTAACTGTAAAAAAGAAAACATTCACGCTAGTAAGTAATGGCCAGTATATTACAATTTTTATCTTTTTTTAAAATAATTTTTAATTATCAAAATTCATATTTTAAAATCCGAATATCATTCGAACGCTAAAATGCTTATTGTAAATCGAAATTAATTTCTAAATGGACTAATTTCTAAAAACCTTTGCCTTTTCAAAACGTTAATAAAAGAAGTTCTTAGTGACAATAAAAATTAAATCGAGTATACTAGACTTAACTCCTTTATCCAATTATATTTCGGTACTTAATAAAAACAAAACCGAATTATAATTAAAACCAAATGCGTCAAACAAAATGCGTATACAGGTTCGTCTTTAAACTGTCCATCTATTTCCACATGTACAAACTAGATCGTTTAGTCGTATTCAAGGCAAAGCAAAGGGACAATTCATCAAAGTGTGAAGTGTAAATAAGTGTAAAACGCACAACGCATACAAAGAGAGTTGTGTGGCGCAGACTTTACTTCTCACTGGGCTGCATGCATAGAACATACGCGTCATTATTGCATCGAGCATGCTTGCAATTGTTTTATAGTATAATTGCTTTATAACTTGCGCTAAAGATAGCGGATGCGTAAATGTATAAATGTAGAAGCGAGAGAGATGAGGACCGCGACTAATGGAGGTCTGTGGTCTTTGCCTACCTCTTTGGGTTACGGACGTGAGTTATGTTGTTATTTTATGGAAAAGATATAGTTATTTTCTTTGCAAGGCCTATTACATCCTTAGGCTATGTAATGATAAATAAAGTAAGAAAATTAAGCAAATCTTTTATGGACTGTAATATAACAAACGTATGTAGAATTACTTTTATACTCAGAGTCTTGGAGACTCTTAGTTAAGTGGTCCTTAGCGAATATACAATATAACTATTATTATGGTGGACGGTAAACACTTTACATTAAGCGACAAAAATATACTATATGTTTGCTTGTTTGCTTGTCAACATTTCGTGCCGTATGTTCTCATTCCTATCTCTTAAGCTTTTTACAGTCGACTAACGTGGTTGTATATTGTTGATACATCGCGCCGTGTAAACTCACCCTTATTTATTGCGTTATTAAGCGCTCCAGCGCTTTACTCGGCCAATTTTGCGCTCGTATATCTTTGCTATATCTTTCGCGGTTACAGTAAGATATTTTTTCGCTCCTATTTCTTGTTCCAAGCTTAGAAAGGACATAGAATTTATGGCGCTTTGTCTAAAAGCTTTTGATAAAAGGACTTTGTTACGTTTTCAACTTTTCGTGTCATTTTATAAGCCAAGGCTTATTGAAAATTACACATCAGCTCTGATGTTCCCACTGAGGAGCTCGGAGCCTGACTTAGTGACTAGGACATAATCAACACAGGCCCAGTGCGAGTTATTTTCACTCATATCTTTGAATTTCTTCTCAGATATGTGCAGTATCACGATTTCCTTCACCGTAAGAAAAATGGAAAACACATTTGTAATTGGGATTCGAACCCAGGATCTGCAGATTGCAAGTCAAATGCTTAACTTCTAAGTCACAGACGCTCTAAAATTATAATAATAATATCATCATCATCAGCTCACTATACGTCCCCACCGAGGGGCTCGGAGCCTACCCTAAGTTAAGGGCGATTAGGCCATAGTCAATCACGTTGGCCAAGTGCGGGTTGGTTGACTTCACACATATCTTTGAATTACTTCTCAGATATGTGCAGGTTGCATCACGATGTTTTCCTTCACCGTAAACATCGGATAAATGTATTATACATATGTAAATCGGAAATCGAAAAACACATTGGTACATGGCGGGATTCGAACCCAGGATCTGCAGATTGCAAGTCAAGTGCTTGACCACTGAGCCACCGACGCTCCTAATAATAATAACGAAACTTAAAAGATCACTGTTACGTAATAAAATTAGTTTTGGTTAAAGTAAATACGTTATTTTTTATTAACTTTTTTGACTATTTGACTGAATCTCTTGGTATACTTATTAACTATAAGTTTTACTACGTACTTACGTAAATATTTGTAATGAAATGGGTTTCTAGAGTTTGGTATAACAAAAAGGCAATAAAATGTAAGAAAGCGATCAGTCGTTTTGAAATGTTAAACCGCGATTGTTAAACTATTCAATGTTTTTTTATCTTTTTTTAGTGAAAGTTAAAAGCTAAATTTTGTATTTTACTTGCTTGTGATGTAACTTAGTAAATGATTATTATATTTTCTTGTCCAAATAAGACTTACATCCAAATGTATATATGGTTTTTATCATAGTTAAAAGATTTCAGGATTATATTTGACTAAGTCTTTAAAATACGATAATACGGTCTTAAAAATTATAAAATTTTATTCTTAAATTATTCAGAGATATTATATATCTGATTTGAATATTATAATATTAATTAATTCTAATAATTTTAAAAGATTTGTACTCTTAAATCGATATAAATCCTAACCACACTGACATAACCTCACTTTTCACATATATCACAAAATTAATAAGTACACGTGTTTAATAATTTCACAAAACTCACATATATCCTTGTTGTGTACATTTTCAATGTTGGACGAATGAATTTCGATGTTACTATGATGTCACAACAGCAAACTACCGCCATTTTATACAAAAGTGACAGTTCCAATACAAATATTCGCGCTCTTTTCTTTTCCCTACAATCACCAACAACCAGTTTACCAAGACCTATCAGTTCCTTCAATCAGTAAGTTACAATAGATCTTGTAAATTGGACGCATTTGATTGGTCGTTGATGTCCAGTATATTAAGAACTTTCATTTGGTTGTACAAGTAAGGTGTGGTTGGGTGTTTGTTATTGGTTGTTATGTCATTATCGTTTTTAATGCAACACATTCCCTATCATTAGACGCATGCATTACGTGTTTTATTTTGTTGTCTTTTTGCTATTATGTACTAGAAGAGTAATGTAGTGCAAACAAAAAACACATCCGACATCCGAGTATCAGTTCCTGTTAAGCCCCTTTTTCACTAAGAAACTGACCGTGAAAGTTTATAACTTAAGGGATACTATTTAATATTTCAAAAAATCAAATGTTTTGGAAAATTCAAGTTTGTTGTTATTTTTAATCTTTTTAACTATATTTCTATACTAATACTAAAAGAGGAAAGATTTGTGTTTCTTTGCATTGAATAGTCTCCGAAACTACTAAGCCGATTTGAAAAAATCCTTCACTATTGGTAAGCTACACTATTCCCAAGTGACATACGCTGGATTTGTTAATTCCGTACGAACGAAGTCGCTCGAAAGTGCTAGTTAAAAAATAAATATTTAATTTAAATCTTGAACCACTAGGCTTCGTGTTAAACTAATATCTCCATTTATTCAACATAAATAAAAGAAAGTCACTTTGTGCAGGGATGGGTATGCAAAGAAAGGACAAATCTCTTTCTGTGCGTTCCCTAATCTATAGAATAAAGAAAGGCTAACGCTTCTGTAAATTCTGATATCTATGGGCAGCAGTCGTTTCGCTATTTTGGCGAAATTAGGTAGCCACTTATTTCCCATTTTATATTGTATAAAAAATAACAATATGATTACTGAAACAAAAATTATCGACCATATTCCTTACTTAGGTATACTATTATATAACTGTTGTATAATTTGAACATAAGGATATCTACACACTAGTATTGTAAATTTTTAACAGTGGTAGAGCCCGCTTTAACATCTTCGTACGAATCAGCCCGGCACGCCCGGTGAAATACCACGACCACACAGAAGACAGGCGTCAAGTGGAAGCAATTCCGCGTTTCGTCTGATGAGTGTGCGTGCCGGAGGCCAAAATTAGTTCTCTTTCCCTTCCCATCCATTTTCTTATAAGGAAAGCATGGGAAATAGAAGTGGACTTTCCGGATGAGGGGATGCACGGAATGGGAAAATATTTTCTTTCTGTACATCCTCTCCTCCGTCGATTAAAGGTAGGCAACGCATATGCAATTGCGTATGTCTATGGGCTCGCTCGTTTGCCACCTTATTATATAAAAAAATTAAGCTTACTAAAGACTGTAGAATTAAATTGATAAAAAAATAAGAAAACAAGAGTTAGCGTTTCTATGTTCTTTTTGATGTTTATATATTATTTCTTATCAATATTATAAATACGAATGTTTAGATTGATGGATGTTTGTTAAAAGGTATCTCCAGAACTCTATGGATCTCGCGGAATTTGGTATATATATACACAGTCTGGAAGAACACAAAGGCTACTAATTAGTTAATTACGATTATTTTAAATAACATATTATGCTGATGTGAAAAGGGCAGATAGATGAACACGATTTAAGTAAGCAAATTTATCTTTAATCTAGTTCATAGTATGTCGCGAGCTTTAACTATACTGATACGAGCTTCAGACATTTCAACAGTAGATAATGAAGCGTCCACCATTATCTAATTCCTTTTTTTTTTTTTATAGTCAGGAAATGCATTTACGCACGCCTACGCCGGGCGGTGCAATGGCGTAGGGAGTGT